GAGAGGTGTATAAGAGATAGGTATAGAGGCGGCAAGGAAAGTGAGCTCTGTCATAAATATCATGAGTATTTCGTTCGAGCTCGGTTCATGGTTTCGAAGTTCGAGGTTGTTTAGTAGGGTTGAGGACTAAGGAGTGAGGGATAGATAGGGTAGATGGGATGGGATGGGATCGTGGGATGATGGATGGATAGGTTAGTATGTATGTCCGTCACAATGGCAAAGAGCTGGGAGAATGGGTTTTACCTATTGAATGTATTCAACGTGTCAAAGTGTGTAGAATATGTGCGGGTTGTATGAGGTCTCGCGTCTTTGTTGATTTCAGGTAGGAGAGAGTGAGTGAGAGTCGAGGGGTCTGGAATCTGGAGTGTAGGAGTTTACAACATGGACTGGTGAAAGTTGTGCATTCAGGGCAGCGGAAAAGATAGAGAGACCTCCTTTTTATATCTCCCCTTCCCTGTATTCCTGGCCCCTTCCTACTACACCTCCATCCATCATCCCGTTTGCCCTGTCTCTTTAGAGCGTCTCCAAAAACGTCTTGACAAGCTCGTCCCGCCTGGCGGGCTCCAAGATATAGAACCTGACATCCCGCAGCACGACGTCCGGTAAATTGTCTGGAGCAAAGTGATCCCCGTCACCCTGTTTGTCGAACTTGGTCTTGTCGACGCTCTTCAGGAGGCTCACCAATTCCTTCCTCCTCTCGGCGTCGCCCTTTTTCAACTTGGCCACAAACTCGCGGTAGAGCTTCTCCCGGTCCTTGTCCTGCATCGACCGCTCTAGCATCTCAGGACTCTTTTTGAACTTACGCCGGAATTCCGGCCAGTACAGTTTTGGAGTGGCATGTTCCTGCAGAAACCGCAGGTACTCCACCCTGGGGTCTTTCTTTTTCTCTTTCGTGGCCGAAGCCTTCAGGGCTTGCAGCTCTGCGATGCGATCCTTGGACCATGCCACAAAAGCCGCCTTGCGGGACGATGTGTTTGGTAACGCAACGTAACGCGAATCCTCAAGTAGAGCTGTGTCTTCGATCAGCTTTTCGAAGGTCGAGTACGGTGATATGCCGGAGTCGTCGAGGAGAGACCGGAAGAGTGCAATGTTGTCTTGTTCGGTCAGAGAGAGACCTTCGTCTTCTTCGTCATCTTCCACATGTTCTGCATCTCCATCTCCCTCTCCGGATCTGTAATCTCGATCCTCCGCATACCCGTCATCGCCCTCCATTTGCGCCAGCTGCCAGGCTATGTCGTCTTCGTTGAATTCCACGGGTCCAGTAGGTGGCGGGTTCTCACTGTCGGTTTCATGAGAGAGACGAGGCCGTTTCGAAGGCTCATCGGTGGCTTCCGCCTCGTCGTCTGTCACTTCGACTTCCTCGTACTCGTCGCTGTCGTACTCTTCAGGTCCGACAGATTCTCGAGGTCGATCCCTTACTGGAGTCTCTGATCTCCGTGCATCATCCTTTGGTTGTGATTCCTCATGTCTCTGGCCGATCTCCTGCTGTTCATCCTCCGCCTTTTTCTTGGCCTCCCACTCCAACCTGTCCATCTCAATCACGGCCAACATGACATCCTGCGGAAATTTCCACAAACTCTGCTTCGTCTCCGTGTTATGGACAAACCTCCTGCCTAGTTTTGTCTTCACCAGTACCCATGGTGCACAATTCGGTATAGGAGCTTTTGACTTGGGTCGGTCTCCCTGGTTGCCTCTCCGTCGGGAATGTTCTTGGTAGCTTCTTCCTCCCGTAAAGTGACCCGGCTGCGCGAGGGCGTTGTTTCTGTTGAACTCATCCAAGGCCTGCATTGAGGCGCGCATAACATAGTCTGGCTCACTTGCGCCATAGTCGATGCGGAGCGGTTCATCGGAAGGAAGACTGGGTCTGGTATAGGTAGATTGCTTCGTTTCGGCATTGTAGTAGTAGGTGTGGCCGGTGGGTGCTTTATGCTCTGTCCACCCCGGCGGGAGAGGAGGCTCTACCGCGGCCGAACGATGGGTAGACTTTAATTTGGTACTCATTTCGCAGGAGGCACCAGGTGTCTTCACTCCAGGAAAGAAAAAGAGACCGCAAAGTACAAACCTGGAGCAGGTCTGGTGCCAGCCTTGGAGAAAAGTTGGCGGAAGATGATTGGCTGAACAGCGGGCGACGCGTGAGAGCCGTGCCTGCGTCAATCCCCAGGACTATTTCTCTCTACTTTGTGACCCTGCCTGCTTCTGTTGACCTCCCATTTTGCTATCTATTCCAAAACTCGCTCAAATCGAATCGCCATAATGTCTCGCAGATACGACTCAAGGGTATGTTTCATGCGTCAACAGATCCCACACTCAGTGCTTGATTGACGCAGCTGCTAACTCGTTCCTCAGACAACAATCTTCTCCCCCGAAGGCCGCTTATACCAGGTCGAATACGCTCTTGAAGCTATCTCGCACGCCGGCACTGCGTTAGGGATATTGGCACAAGATGGTATAGTCCTCGCTGCGGAGCGGAAAGTGACAAGCAAACTGCTGGAGCAAGACACTTCGGCGGAGAAGCTGTATATCTTGAACGAGTATGTGGTTGGACTTGGGGGAGAGATCAATGACACAACCGAAGACTAATATTTTCTTTCGTGCAGCAATATGATTTGTGCTGTGGCAGGAATGACTGCTGATGCCAACATCCTCATCAACTACGCTCGACAAGCTGCTCAACGGTACCTCCTCACATATAACGAAGACATCCCCTGCGAACAGCTAGTGCGCCGCTTGTGCGACTTGAAGCAGGGATACACACAACATGGTGGTCTCCGACCCTTCGGCGTTTCCTTTATCTATGCAGGCTGGGATCCTCAACGGCAGTTTCAACTCTATCAGAGCAATCCCTCGGGCAACTACGGTGGATGGAAGGCTACGAGTGTAGGAGCAAACAATGCCAGTGCACAGAGCTTGTTGAAGCAGGATTACAAGGAAGATTGCGACTTGAAGGAAGCATGCGGGATGGCGGTCAAGGTGTTGAGCAAGACGATGGACTCGACGAAACTAAGCAGTGAGAAAAGTGAGTTTGCTTTGCTGTTCTCCCTCCGCGGAATGACATTCACTAATGTGTGCCTCGCAGTCGAGTTTGCGACCGTGGGAAAGACCAAGGATGGCAAGATTTACCACCATCTTTGGTCTGGTGACGAAATCATGACCCTTCTCAAGGAACACGGCCTGGCCAAGGAAGAGGAACCGGAGACCGGCTAGGAGCTGTCTAGTGCTACATTCACAGCCAGCAATAGACGAAGGTGACCGCGAAATCGGCCTGGAAAGGTGCCAATCCCCCCGACTTGTCCTCTTTGTGGAAGCCACACTGTGCTGCCGGAGTTTGTACGTTTCTACAAGTTACAGAAAAGGCAGGAAAACTAAGGCAACATTGCATAGCACCAGGCGTTCATGGCGAACGACTGGCATCCACTGTCAAGAGCATCACAGGTTCCGATCCTAATGATATGGTAGCAGTGGTCTCTATACAAGTTCAGACATGGGTGTGAAAGGCACAGTGCAGTTCAATTTATCATCTATTCTCGAAGGACCTGAACAGCTTCCGCAAGGCATCATTGTTCGAACCACAGTGGGACCCCTTGATGCGACTGATCAATTCTCCTTACCGACATTCCCATCGAGAACTTACCGATTTGTCTGTCCTCCGCAAAGATAAGTGGAGCGCTTTCACGGATATATAGGCAATGGACAGGCATTCCCACTGAAATCGCGCCGGCGTGGAAATCTCCCGTTATCAGTTCTCAGCTTTCTGAGAGTCTAGCTGTTTGGACAGATGCTGCGCGCAGGATCACGTCGCACTCTCAGCGATCCCAAAACAAGTTCGGCCCAAGCTGAAGCTTCAATTGAAACCTGGCAAAGCAGCTGAGATCACAACATTGCGCTCGCTTTTGCCGCTTTGAACCTGATTTCTCTACGTTAGGACTATGTGATTCTAGGTAAGAAACCTCTCCGATACGGTCAAAAGTTTCATTCTATCATCCGTTTCATGACGAATGTTGAAGACTACAGGCTCGGGCTATCAACGAGTAGAGCAGGGAGAAAGGTTCATTTGTGTCGCCTACTTTCACCATCTTTACGTCGACTTTCGGTTCATGGGTTCGGTTTCGATGCAAGAACGATTTGGGACACCAGTCCTGAGAATCACTGGAAAATGCGATGAGCAGGACACGGCCAAAGCGATCGCACTGCGCCTTCACCACACGAGTTATATTTATTCTCACGGTATACGCAGAAGGTTTGTTTCAACAGGTGAAGTTGGCCGTACAGAGGCTTTCAGCGACTCGTTATCAGAGGTTGAGGTGGCTCCTGCTAAGGCACTCATGACATAAGGCTGTATAGGAAAAGTCTGGGCTTGACAACCGTCATGACCAAAGTGTTGTCAGAACGGATGTTGGAAGTCTCAAGATCGAATTACATGATGTTCTGCTTAGTGAATCTTCGCAGACACTATTGGCTTCGCCATCCATATGGACAACGAACCATGAACACAGCTGGACGGTGTCGCACTGGCCTGCCTTCCTCTCACCCTCACGGCTACGCTATGCAAGGTCTCAACTCCCTCCTTACAGAAGCCAAGATCTCTTTCTCTTTAACAGCCGACACCCTCCCATCATGGCCACGCCTCTCTTGAACACATGCAGACCTCTTTCTCTGGCTGATGGCTGACGGAGACGTTGTTTGATCTTCCTCGTTGACGAGTATCTACAACGATAGTCACAGCCTAGCTCGATTGAGAGGTATCTGCCTATTTCCGCCTGCAGCTCTCAATGGAGTGTGAGACCCGGACTCAGCTGATATTGTTCAAGCAAGCTGAGAACGCCACGACCAAAAGTCCGCAGGGATGCCTGAATATTCGAGCCTCAGGCACCTCGACATGAGACCGGGTTATGGTACGGGCTTACTTATGGGTGAGGCCTTTTTCTGGAGTGGATTTCACTCAGGATCACGCGGTCTGATCCTTCCAAGCAGGCAACAATCCACGGTTGATGCGAGCGAGAACTGAATTTTTCGGGATCGACCTTTAGGGGTACGGTGTTCATTCCAGGAGGATCTACAAGGTCACAAGTCTATATGTGGTGGTGTCATCAAGCGAAGGCAACAGGTTTTCGGGGCGGCCACCAGGTCAACCCGGACGAAGTAACAGGTTCTTGAGACTGTGCCTGGATGTGAGCCCCTGGAACCCTGGGTATACGTCAGACGGTGCTGGGTGTGGTGTTTTGACCATAAGCCGCATACAAGGGCATTGTCATGGGTCCATGCAGGTACAGCAAGGAACGACTGCACCTGCACCAACGCGCAAAGAGAGAGATATTTCTAGCAGATGGCACGGTCAATGTGAGACACGCTCGGCTGGCCTTCTTGATGCGGCCCGAGAATGACGGCAGCCTTGATCGACAGTATGGGAGAGAAAGACTCCCGGTTTCGGATGGCCCACGAGTCGCTCCCGCAGACAAAGCGACACGTACACAACACCTGTCTGGCACGGCGAGTCTCTGGTGTTTCGTCCGACGACCCCTTCTTTCCCTCGAGCGTGCTGGTATATTCTCGACCTCTGGAATCACGAGTACCTGTACGAGTAGGAGAGTTTGTGCCCCCCAGAAAATAATTAGCATTGTTACCATACCTTACCAGAACGGTTAGTTCACTGTCATTGTCCATGACAAGGGCAAGGCCCAGGCTGGTCGAAACCAGCCAGCTACTCGTATTATTTTGATCGGGACGAGTGAGAAAGTGCTCCGGATAGGTGGCCGTGGCTTGCACGTGAGCTTGAGCTTGAGATTGAGCTGGAGCTGGAGCTGGAGCTGTCATTGAAATATCGACAGCACCTCCATTGACGTTAGGTACTGAGACTGTATCGAGACTCGTCGTTACTTGATTGGATGGGGGTGGCTGTGCAGAGACCAGAGCTCTTGTTCTTGGACAAGCGGGCTGTGCACTCCCCCTCCCTTCCCCTCGACGTTACAAAGTTTGCCAGAACCTTGCTCGTAGCTATACGGATATCGTATACCAACAAGGTACCCAGAAACCCAGAGAGAGATAAGGTTATGGTTGGGGCTTGACAATGATGATTACAGAAATAGAAATCGAGGAATGGTCAATGCACGCGATATGTAAGTACAGAGAGGCCGGTCATTGGCCTTACAGGTTTCAAATCCCATAATTGCCAGGTACAAGGTAGACGGCGGGTTTTTACAGCCCGACAGTAAGTATGTAGCGAGATATGTAGGTATGTAGGTTGTGTCATAAATAGATACCTGGCAGCGCTGAGTAGCCTTCTACAAGTATGATGTATTTGAATATCAGTGCAGAGGTGGAGAGACGCAGAGATGCAGACTGAGTAATAGGTCGTCAGTATGTGACCCGCAACAGCCTCACCAGCCTCAACGGCTTCAACGGTTGTTGCAACGGACGGCTCGCACCTATGGCGTTGGTGGCGTCATTTATCTACTTAGGTAGATACTAGTTGTTTCAGCTCGTCAAGGGGCAATGACAAAACGCCCCAACAACTACGGAATACCTATCTGTACCTCATATTACCTGTACCTACAGTCTACCGACCTGGCCGAGTACTTGCACTGAGACCCTGGGCTCGAATCGACATTTTGGGGAGGGGGGTGAGGGGCAGCCAACCCTTACCTATTTGCCTATTGTACATTTACAGGGGGTGAGTAGATGGGTTTGCGTGGCTTGTTACTCGGTATCTTTGTTTTTGGCCCTACAAATTTCCCTTGCATAGACCTACCCTATCAGTGCCTGTGCATGCATGCATCCATGCATTTGTGCGGGTGTGTTTTTCGGCCCACACCCAGTCACCAGTGCCAAGCGGGGGCTTCGGCCGTCGTCGCCACAAGGGCACTACTAACAAGGACGCAAGGACAAGAGCAAGGCACAAAAGTGCACACCATTATTTTAACCGCACACCAACTAACTAATACTGACACTAACACGCCACACTCACATTCTGATTATTATTCACAGACACACACCAAACTGAGTACCAAGTACACCATACCAATTACCAAGTCAAGTACCAAAACTACTACCTCGTACCTGAGCCTGAGCCTCAACGAGGGGGCCTGATACTGACACTCACACCAACAGCGAGACTTACACTTGACCCCTGACACACCCAGCCCTTTTGGCCTCCAGCCTCGTGTGTGCACAGCCTCGAACGCCACATCAGGCCAGACCAGGTCAGGTCAGAAGAGATGGATGAGGGGTTTGCCCCCTTGGCCCCGACACTCACACACACTCATCCTCACATTCACACACACGTACTATAGTCTCACAAGAAAAGGCTCACTTGTCCAGTATCTTGATGCAGAAGAGGGAGAAGGAGAAGGAGAACACTGCTTGGGGATTGGTCACGAGTGCCACCCAAGGCAACCTTCGAAGACGGGAAGCGGAACAAAGAATATTTGATTATTCATCCATACTTGTAGGTGTATTTCACATTGTGACTGAACTGAATACTGTCTATCGGAGTAGTTACTAGGTAGGTAGGTCCTGTAAGTGTCCCCCTCCCCAAAAGTCAGCCTTGGCTTTGCCTCCACCAGCAATTGTCGCATTTGCTTTTCAGAAAAATACCACAATGCTGCTGCTGCTGCCCCTACCATTCATGTCGTCTGTTGTGTCCCATCATTCCATCTATCCACAATTCAGGGCCCCCTCAATGTCGGGAGCCGCAGAGTTTCCCCAGTCACCTTGACTTCTCTCTCGAGTGAGAGTGACGGCCACAATAGAAATGAGTAAATTTCTCAACCCAACCCAATTGCGCACTCTGTTTTTTTGTGTCGTTGTTGTTAATTTTCTTGCCACAGAATGATGTAACGAGACAATCACAAAAAGTCCCAAAAGTCCAAAGTCGGACCAAACGGCGTCTTGGCCCAAGATGGAGGACCAAAAGACAATAATCAACCACCTGTCAACCCATGCATGCATGGTTGCTGACGGGGCCACACGCTGGCGAACCCCATGAGTGAGCCCGGCTGGACTGCTGCAAGTCGTGCTCCCCTTTCGTATCGGTTCATCGCTGGACCATCCAGTTGGTGTGGTGGCACTTGTCGCTCATTCATAGCGTGCCTACTGGGATTTCCCTTTCCACCCCTTTTCTTGAGGTTTTGGGCCATCCCTTGCTGTGGTCGATGCCATGATTGTTGATGTTGGTGTCATTTGTTGATACATTCCATTAGATCCATAGTTTCATATTCCCAAAAAAATTCAAGACTTTCCGAAAAACGCCCCAGTCCTTCACCGCCTGCTGGTGAACCGCTGCTGCTGGCCAGGCTCAGCGACAATGACAACTGGCTGGCGGTCGTACCGTTCTCGCCGCCGCCTCTCCTCTTCGTCTCTGACATACAGACTGCCCTTCCCCCCAGTGTAGGCTACCGACTTGGGCCTCTCTCGGTACTCATAACGAGTTCGATCCTCGCCACGGTCGTCATGGTAAACGACTCTCTCCCGTCTCTCCCTTCGGCTCGAGTGAGGGATGATTTCAACCAGGTCATAGTCGTCGCGAATGTACCGTCTCTCCCGTGGTCGGTCGTCAGTGAGGTACTCTCTCCGTCTTGAGGGTGACGAAGGTGACGAAGGTGAGACGACCTTGGCGGACTTCTCAACACTTTCTTGTCTCCTTGTGTTATCGACAACCACAAGTCTCGGCGAGTCAAGCTTCATGCCCTTGTCAAAGGCCTTGATGAGAAGGTTGATGACCTCACAGCCGGCTGGCACGCGGACCTGAACCCGTTGGCCATTGGACTTGTCGATGAGGGAAAACGGCTTGCCACCTTTGGCGTAGAGATAGGTGGCGACATCCTTTGCATATGACCGACCCTTGCTGCACAGAGGTCGGTCCTCTCTGTAGGCCGTGTATGGATCACGGCAGTACTCACAACGTGCCGAGTGCTTGGCGAAGTGCTCCATGACGGAGAGCTCGTCGTCGCGCGGCTCGCGACACGAGACCACTTCGGTCGCAAACTCGACGTTGCGAGTGCTGGCACCTCTCGCCATCTTGTCGATTGGAGTCGAAGGTGACTTGAGGATAGGCGACGGGGTCGCGGAGAAACTCAATGGAGGTGTCGATGGAGGAGTCTGAACCTGAGTGTTGACTCGTTGCGGAGCGCGAGTGACAGTGACGTACTCGTAGGCGGGAGTTAGTAAATCTGGACCATAGGACCGCTTGGGGTAATAATAGTAGGTGACTGAGCGTGGAGACGACAGCGTGACGGCGGGTGCTTGAATAATGTGGTGAGGTATCGGCAGCCTGGTCGACTGCGACAAGGTCGAGGGTAACGCGCCTTTGGAAGACGGTATGGGTATGTCTGTGGAAGTAGTCAATGTGGTGGAATGTGTTGATGGAAGAAGAGAAGTTTCAATGGGAGCAAATGGTGGGAAGTATGGGAGAGATATAGCCTCGAGGTGGGAGCAGCCAATTGAGGTGAGGACACATCGGTGCGATGTCGAGCATATGCGGACAAATCGAGCCCATGGACTTTCGCAGGGACTTTGGTTGGAAGCCTGGGGATGCGTTAAACCAAAAGAGGCACCAAGTGGAGCAACAAGAGACCAAATCGCCAGGCTGCCACCACGGCCAAGACAGGCACTGACAGGCATCAGATGGAGGGAGCTGCATGCCCCGGCGTGACTCATGATAGGCCACAAAGAGGCACAAGGCCAGGAAGGGCGCCGGCCCTTGCCCCTAGTTGCCCTAGTTGACCCGAAGGCCGAAGACGGGTGAGGGAAGGGAAACAGGCATGAACCATAGTTTTGGGGCCAAACCGTATGGGGGTGTAGATGTAATACCTAGAAAAGATGGAGGGACAGTGAAACAAACATGTTTGATAGAGGGTCACCTAACCAGAGAGGTGCCCTGGGGGCGAGGCGGTGCTCCTTACCTACAACTATACCTCCTCGACCTGGGTGCCCCCCGAAATCGCCTAGTGGACTCGAGGTTTGGCGGCCGGTTGCCTGCTTCGCCTCAAGGGCGGAGAGTCTCCCAGAGATCCAGTCATTGGTGGTTATTACACTTGCCGCTTGTCACACCGGTCGACACTGGTCCCAAGCTCCCACGGCTGCCCACAAGCGGCGGCTCCTCACACCTGCAGCATCTCATGTACGTTGCAGTCATCATCGCCCAGCGGCACTCGCGGTCTTTGGTAGAATTACTCAGGCCCAGTCATAATTCAAGGGCCTCATACATGCCTAGACCCTTCCCGTACCCCTCGTGTTCCGGGAAATTATCATTATCATCCCCCCAGTCATTGAAGTTTCATCATGATGATCCTGATCATCTACTGACAATGACACTGACGCTGTCCTTGAGGTCAGGTGGTCGGTGATCAAGTGCGCCTTGCCAGAATGTGGCCGGCGACAAAATTCCCCCGTTAATGCTGGTTATGCCAGAATGAGGAGTCAGCACTGCCATCAATCAACCACCACCCTGACATCAACCCCTCATTCATTCACAACCTGCGTGCCCCCATTGGTGCTTGGCTTCAGCCCTTTGATCTAACGGCACAACGGCATCACCCATTACCTTTTTCCGCGTTTCCCCCCTCTTTTCCAAACCGTCTTTTCTCTCGTGCCTCTCACTTTCCACATTATTCCTCATTCGTACTCCAGCGTCATCCCTAGCCTATATCGTTTAGCAAGAAAAAGTCCTCCAAAAGTCCCCCGGCTATATCCGGTGTCTCGGAGACTCGTGCTCAGCCCTGCATGCACCCAACATGTGCTTTTTCACTGGCAAGTGCCCATTGATGAAGATTGCAAGGCCGCTCATTGCATCGGCTAAATCACCTGTGGCGTTCACTCTGCCACTCTTGAGGTGAACAGTATCGCCCACTTCGGCCCGTTTCTCCATTGTTACCCCCCTATCTCGATGCAGCGTATGCTAAACAACTAGTCTCCTAGTACAACCTCTTGTTACCTGCGCTCAACCCAAGGATGGCTGGCAAAAGGAAGACCAAGACACAGATCTTCTAGGAGAGGCTATAATGGAGGTCAATGTAACGATCATGTATCATTGGTCGACAACAACAGAGCCTCAATGCTGGAATGTCAAGTTTGTTCCCACGGTATCACTCACAAGATTGGCATCCGAAAGTCGAGTAACGTCCGCATCAACCCCTTCATCATACTCAGGATCGGCCCACAAAAGTTTGTGCAAGAACATGATATGCTGCATACGGAGGCCCTCTTTGCTCGCACCCACCCTGGGATTCGATAGCGTGGCCACCAAAACGGACAGGTAACGTCTGTCGCATATGTTGAGCAGTACGAGGAACATACTCCGCCACCGTCAGTCGCCAACCATCCATGTCAACATATGCATACCTCTGTGTATGCTGTCTTGGCTCTCATCCTGGTCTTTCTGGTAGACCGGGATCAAAACATTTCCCTCAAAAGGTGCGCGTCACGACCAGGTCCAACTCGCCTGGACAAAAGCCGCGTCAACCCGCAAATGTCCTTGTGACAGCTGAGGAAGAGCTTCATCCTCACTTTCGCTTCTTCCTGTGCGGCTCCACCATCCATCAGCCGAGCGCCCGACTTCTTCGAGTATGCCTTGACTATACTTTCCTCTTTCTCTCCGGGACTCCTGTTTCTTCTAGAACCTACCTCTGTAGGTATGGTGTCAACCTAGCACGCAAAATTGACCTGCCGACCTGCATGAACGCCTGCAACACCCTCCTGTGCGTCACCCCTCGTTCTATCCACTCCGGTCAGGTCCCGTTTGTTTGTTTCCACCACAGGCATGCTGGTCCAACCTTGATCTCAGAGCCTCATTCTCTGCAACACCATGGTGACGTCCCGCTGTTACCCGTAAAGGTGCTGGAACGTCACCAGGCGCTTTTCGTTTCGAGGATGATGCTCGTATTCAAGTCCTTCCATCCATTCCGTGCCCCAGGAAAAGGTACCTTGCGCTTCATTCGGAATGACTGCCCCTCAAATCCCCAGAGTTTCTTTTCGCACATTCCCCATAACCTCGAGTCTGACGCCTAGAGTCGTGGTCTCTCGCAAGTTGCATCCTCACCGGGAGTCCAAGATTCCTCCATTATCATAGCCATACCTTGTCCTGGCCTTAACATCCAAGATACCTCGCACACACACAACATAGTCTCGTGATCGAAGACTCAAGTCTACATCCCCCGCAGTTGGACAGGCCGGAATCCTTGCGCGCCAAAAGTGGCCTCATACCATCCTTGCTGCTAGAGTCGGTGAGTTAGTGTTGCACGCTCCGTCAATTCGAGGCTCAACATCAGCATGGCTACGCATAGGACGTTGGATTGGAACTTCTGAAGGGCGTTGTCTGCAAGAATGAATACGAAACGTCGCTTCCGAGGCTAGAAAGTTGCGTTTCCTTGTCATGAATAAGCAAACACTGACCGACTGACCCGAAAGAGGACCTTTACTATGCTCTAGTCCCTCTGGGTAGTGCGTGGGATCGTCCTCCTGCTTGGGAAGTGGTGCGTCCGCCATGTCTAGACTTGGGGCGGCTCAAGTGAGACAACTCTGAGGGCAGATTCTCACGCCCAAGTTTGGTAATCGGCTGATTGTTGTGCAACTCGATGAGGTAGTCCTCACGAGCCTGCACAGTGTCGTCAGGCCACGTCCAAGCCAGAAACAAGGCAAACTGATTGCAGAGTCCTCAAGCACCGGGTGAGTTCAAGCACTTGCTGGTGTTGGGATGATGACCGATCTGTGCCATAACCGGTGAGGATCCCCATTCCTTGCAAAAGATTTCTTTCTCTGCCTCAGCATAGTGTACCAGAGAACTCCAACATCTATGCAAGGCTGAAGCCTCATTATCCTCGACCGGCCAAGCTACAACGCCTCTCACGAGAGATTTCAGTTGTCACTGCAACATAACCCTGTGGTAGGCATCAGGGCAAAAGTCGGATCAGGCATGTTCTACCTCCCAGGGGCTGAATATGACGATGCAACAAGCCACCTCAAACACCCGCGCCCTTACTCTTCGACTCTACCTCTCTCGAGGCGATTTCCGACGTTGCATCCTTGGGGTGGTGTGGTTGCCACGACGAAGCGGGCACAGAAGAAACCTCTGTAGGTAGGAAACACGAGCACATGTCGCACTTGATGTTTGTCTTGCGCCTTGAAGAGGACGGGACTAGAGTCAACCAAAAGGATCAGATACGCCCGGCCGCGGAAATGCGCCGTGGTTTGTGATTCTGTGAGTGTGTGTGTGTGTGTGTGTGTGTGTGTGTGTGTGTGTGTGTTCTTGCACATGTGTTTTGGTGTGTCTGTCTATAGTCTCTGTTATTTTATATGGCGGTATATAGCGAATATTTTGTTTTTTGGTTTTTCTCTCTCACACCGCCACACTCTGCGAAAAAGAAGACCCCGAGAGCTCTCTTCTCAGACCTTTTCTCTTTTGTCTTTCGCGGGTATTA